ATCATTTTGTATTCCTTTTAGCTCCTCTCACTCAGACTCTGCCTCCTAATTGCCCCTGCTGCAAAGCTGATAGAGAACTCTCATTTCTTGTATTAAAAATGTTTTTAAATTACATAGGTAATACGTGAATACATTCATGCTGTAAAAGACTTAAACAATACGGAAGCATACTGACGATCCCGCCTGAGGAAGCCCCTGTTTCCATTCCCCTCCCCTGAGGTGGCCATAGTTCTTAGTTTGGTGTGTGTCTTTTCAGTCCCTTTTCTATGCAATCACATACATTTATGCGCAAATGCACATATGTAGGTTTTTGTTGTTGTTGTCGTTGTTGTTTTACATATATGGGCTCATACTGCGCGTATTGTTCTGGAACTTCTTTTAACTACATAATGATGTCTTGGAGATACTCACATCAGGACCTTAATGGCTGTAGAATATTCCAGAGTAGGCATGTACCCTATTTTAGTTAAATATTTGCCTATTGTCAGACATTTGGTTTTTTTTTTCTAATTTTTCGATATTATAAACAGTGCTGTAATGAATTTTCTTGTAGTAAATGGATCTTTGTTCAGACATGTGATTTTCTGTAGAATAGATCCCAAGGGGAGATTGCAGGATTACAAGAGACGGGCCATATAACATTTTGGTGATTGTGATCTTGCTAGCATCTCAGTTCAAGCCTTGAACATGGTACCACCTGCTACTCAAAATGGCTTGAGGTTTCAGTGCCACGCATGCTGGGCCAAGTTGCCAGTTCCATCTCCTCTTGTGCACATTGTAATCCAGAGAACGTTCAATTAACTGCAATCAAAGTAATCAGGACTTCAATTAGTCAGGCCACCTTACAGAATAAGAAGAAAGAGATATCTAAAATTTACTGAGGAACGGGGGAAGAAACTTCCAGGGGCTGTCCTGGACTCAGTGTACATTCAGTCCAGTGTCCTGTCTTTTTTACCTCCACATAATTAGCTCTGAACAATGAGGACTAATATTCATAATAATGACCTTGACATCAAAGCAAGAGTGAATGGTGCTTGCTAGACAGGATTTCCTAAAGCAGGAAATATATATACACACACTACAATTTTGAAGCTTTCTCAGTTACAACGAGCATTGAGACAAAAAGTTTGTTACTTAAATCTTGGTTAGCAAGAAAAACACATTAACTAGATCTCATGACCCTTAGTCCCCAAAACTGCCAGTTAATTTGGATGTATTGAACGCTAGGTGAAAAGATATGGAAGAAATAAAGATTCTAAATGTCACCAGTCAGTGACCACCAAATCGAGATCAATTGTTATTTCTCTGTATTTCTTCCTGACTTCAATCTTGGCCTTTGGTGATAGAAAACTATTGGGTCATCTCTTACTTTTCTGATCATTTCTTCCTCTTAGAAGAATCCTCTTCATGTTCCCATTCCTTACTTGTGGGCATTTCCTATATTCAATCTTTAACTCTTTTCTCCCTGTACTATCTCTTGGAGAACACATCCAGCTTCATCTCTCTCACTCCTAAATTTATATCCCAGTCCTGAATTCTCCTTGAGCCTACAATACCATATTGTTAAGTACTTATTGGATTTCTTTTCCTGGGTATCTCACTTTTAAAATAAAAACTATCTTATTTTCCTTAAGATATAAAACACTTTTACAAATCCAGAAGAGAAAGACAAACACCTATTATTTAAAAAATGGACAAGGATATGAATAGGCAGCTCACATATATGTATACATACACACAATACACATATATAGTTGAACAATAAAATAAGTTCACCTTCGCCAGTAAAATGAAAATTAAGTGACATGATGCCATTTTTCAGTGATTCAATTCATAACGGTTAAAAATGTTCAGAAAATCAATGTTGTCCATATATGGAAAAATGGACACTCTTGTATATTGGTGGTAGAAATAGACATTTGTACTATTCTCTGTCGAATGATTCTCAATGTGTACCAGTCTTTCAAATGTGTATGCCCTTGGACCCAGTGGGCTTCAATTCTAGGAATTTGACTTAAGGAAATAACCAGATATATATGCCGATCTATAAGGACAAAAATTATCATTTATATTGTTGAAAACTTGGAAGCATGCTAAATGTCTAGCAGTGGAAGATTGGTTAAGAAAATCCGGTAAATTTCTTTAATGGAATGTGGCCAGTAAAAGTAATGTTTTAAAGGTATACTTAATTACTCAAGAAAACATCTATACTGCATTAAGTGTCAAGTTATTAAGTCAGGTTATGAAAAAGGAATATACAGAATTATCCCAATTTTGTCAGAAGAAAAGATATACAGACTGGAGAGACATACATATAAATTAACAGTGATTATTTCTGAAGAGTGATATGGATGACTGAGATTGTCTCCTTTATAATTTTCTATATTCTAAAATTTCTACAGTGAACATTGATTACTTTTATAAAATAAAAAGCTTGATAAATGTAATTTCTTTTAATAATAGCTTATTTAAAACCAGACTCCTTGATTTCCCCATTAAACAATCCCCCTTTCTTGGTTTCTCTCTTTCTGGCCATGGTGCCATCAATCTAAGTTCCCAGGCTTAGAACATTGCAGCCTTAGAGCTTTGATTGCTCCTTCAATCCCTCTGCCCAGTCGCTCATTGAGTCTCATCGCTTCTTTAGGACGTCTCTAAAATTTGTTCCTCCCTTCTGAGTCCCAAGTCATCAGTTCACTTTAACCAGCGTGTATTGTCACAATACCTGGATGTCACTCTGCCAGTTCAAAATTATTAGAGTCATCTACTGATATGTCTTCCTGCTTCTACTCTCTCTCCTCCAATCAATGAGGCACCTTGCCGCTGGAATGATCTTTCAAAAACACTAGTTGTATCATGGCCCTCCCTGCTCAAAACACTCAAAATGCCCCCAAACCCCATGGCCTAGGGAATAAAGCCCATACTCTTTCTTCTGCTGTTCAGGGCTCTTTCCAGCACTGTGCTAGGTGGGAGGTAATGGCGGGCACATGAGAAGTCTTTGACAATGAAGTCAATCTTTAAGAATGAGATGTGGAGTTCTCACCACTGTCTTCAGTCTGAAATTTCCCTTTCCTTACCTTTTGGCACTTAGACCAGAGGTCTTGGAGCACTTAAAATTTCATGGTGCTGCATTTGGAGGCAGGAAGAGACAGCCAGGGGTGATAAAATATGGCTCAGGAAACCTCAACTCTGAGTCCCTCCCAATTTCCGATGCCTGTTATGTAGGAGGCTCCATCGAGAAAGCATATATTAGCTCTGAAGTCTCTGTCTCCCTGCAGTATTGAGGACCAAGAACGAACAGTATGAATCTTACATCTTTTTTGTTCATTTTAATAAAAAGAATAAGGAGAAAGTGGTGAGGAGATGAGGAAAGGGGCGAATGTGGAATAAGCCAATGAATGACGTAGGCCACACATGAAGCCCGACTGTCTTCAGGTACCCCTCTGGGACCCAGAATACTCCAATCAAGACTGAATGATGGCAGATGGTTATGTTTCAAGAATTCTCCACTGGGAGTGTGTGTGGGGTGACATGTGGGAGGGTAGTGAATTTACCAGGTGGCAGTCACTGGCACCTAGCCCTGTCTCTCACTCTTGGAGGATCCGATAGCACCAATGGGAATGGGATCCCAAGCTGGATGAAAGAACTATCTGGAAACCAGTTCTGACAATGTCAGCTGCTGTGAGGCTCCCCCACCAACGCAGCCCATTCTTCTCAGTGTAAAAGTATACCCTTATGGACCTAGTCTAAAAACAGGTCCAGTCCAGGCTAAGAGCTGCCTGCTAACAGCCTAGGATGCTGGCTCAGGCCCCTTGGCACTTACCATGCTCTTCTTATATTGCTCTCAGCACCTTTCTGGTTTTGGAAATCATAGTCGAGCCCTACCTAGCAGAAACTCTGCTTACCTAGGCCACCCTTCTTGTCTAGCTTAGCTGTCTCCAGCTTTCCTTCTCTTCCCTTCTCCTCTCCCCCATGGCCATCGGCAGTTAGCACAATTTTTGAGTACATACAGGCCCCCTTTGTCCTTCCCCCTGGATCCTTGGAAGCTTGCCCCAGTTTGAGGTTCTCCCTGTTTTGTGAAACCATTAGCAGTAAGAAGCTTTGGGACTTGCAGGTGAAGCAAAGGCCCTCTGCTTTCCAGGGCTGAAAATGTCTTGGCTGACACCCATGGAGACAAGGGGACTGGAGGAAGCAAAGAAACAGCTTTCTCTAGCTGGAGGGAGCACAGCAAGTGTGCCATAGCATCATATGTAATTTGGGAAGTCCAAGTGGAAGGATAACTTCACAGTGTAATAAGAGCAGCAGCCACTGTTGATGGAATGCTCGCCACATGCTTGGCACCATGCTCAGTTCTAGGGGGAGTATTATCTAATTCTCACACCAATCTTACGGGGTAGTAACTACGAGTTCTCGATTTTACAGATGGGGACACTTTGAGAAGTTAAGTAACTTGTCTGAGGTCAGAAGGTAGAGGAAGTGGGACTCTAAGTTACACCTGCCTGATTTCAAAGCCTAGTCTCTTAACCTCTATGTGGTGCCACCTTTGTAGAGCCCCAAAATGCCTTAGAGAGAGGAGTAGTTGAAGTCTCTTTGTCATATTTACTGAACACTTATGCATGTGCCAGGCATTGTGCTACGTTCGTTACATGTATGAATACATTTGAGCCTCCCAATCGCCTGTAAGATAAGTAATATTATCTCATATGACAGACGGGGGAAGAAATGGAGTCTCCAAGAGGTTATCCAGCTTGTAAGTGATTTGAGTTGAGAGTTAACCCAAGTCTGTGAACCTCTGGCACCAGAGGTCTCATCCCCTGACTCCACCTTCCTGTCCCTTATAAACCCCTCTTGTAGTTTGCTTTGCCTAGAGCTATGGTGACATTCATTATGGATCCTGGATGGGTGTTACTTCCTAGCATGGAGATTATTTGGATGCATAAGTGAGGCTCAGATTGCTTGTAAGCACATTTTCATTTTCTCCCCTCCTTCCCCTTCCAAATTAGGGTGAAGGTTGCCGAACCGTCCCCCTGGCTGGACATGTGGGGTTTGACAGCTTGCCTGACCAGCTGGTGAATAAGTCAGTCAGCCAGGGCTTCTGCTTCAACATCCTGTGCGTGGGTGAGTATTTCCATAGCAGGAAATTCTATTACAGAATATGGATCTTTAATGGCTGGATGTGGCTTTGCAGGTAATTAGGTTAAATAGTGTGTCATCCTGATCTACTTACAAGAGTGTCCCCTCATCTTTCTTCTTTTATCCCTTTGCTTGTTTTGTAAACAGCTGGCTATAATGACATTTTTTTCTCTGGTCAGGCCAGAATATGGGGCCATACCTTGGGGGAAATTGAGCTGTGTGACACCCAGTGGAAATTTTGCAGGGGAGCTGGCTGGCTCAGCTATTGCTGTCAGGTTCATTTTGACTGCAGAAAACAGGAGCCAGGGCAGAACTTGGAGGGAGGTAATGGCTGCGAAAAGATCCCTGCCCACAAGCTATGGGCAGTGGGTTGGGTCTGTGTGTTTCCTTTGCAGCCCTGATATGCTTGGTATAGTTTGAGCTCAAATGCGGGGACCACACAGCTGTGTGCAAAGTTCTTTTATCCCCTTTAAGTATATCTCTGCCTAGATCTTTAGTCTCAAGTGTGGGAACCACATCTTAGTCACCTCTAATGTGCTAATCACAGCACGAGAGTTTAATAATATTTGTGAAATGAATGAATGAGTTAACCCCACAGGAGCCACTCATTATGCTTCTCAAACACTTTACCATATTAGCAATTTGGGTCCTTACCAGGGTTTTGTGAAGTGAGCAGAGTGAGTAACATTCACATCCTCATTGAACAGATGGAGACACAGAAACTTGGGGAGGATAAGGGACTCACTTGAGGCAACATAGAATAAGTGGCAGAGCCATTACAAAGACCCAGGTCTGCCTGATCCTTTGTCCGTCCCTCTGCTTCTCTAACTGCTGCCAGCAACATCTCTTGAGAACACAAAAGCATTTTGCAAATTGCCAAGCACCAACCAAATATGAGGAATAAGTTTCTTGATATTCTTTAAGAATCTCTCCTGAGACCTTAAAAAAATTCCAAATTAACAAACGTGATCATAGCATATAATTTTCACTATAAAGTACAGTAAAGCATACTTGCATATTTTCAGTGACCTACTTCCAAACTCTTATGATCATATAATACCATAATAAAGCCAGTTTTCACCCTGGTTGGAGCACTCAGACACTTCAGCTAATTGCTTTTTCTTATTTTTTGCTTAGAGCGTATTGGGGACTCATTCATGTTGAGGATCTAAGCCACTGCCAAATCGGATATTTTATTCTTTATGTTGTCTAAAGTTCTGTTTTCTAATTAAGGTCATTGATTTTTTTTGACTCTATTTTTTCTGCTCCTGCACTCCCAGTACTCTTTTCCAGATCATTTTCTATAGGAAAATGACTGCACACTCAAGGGCAAGTAGAGAACAAAAGAGTCACTTCTAAATATGGATGGCGGGCAGTCAGCTAGGCTCACTCACTAGCTAAATGATTCACTCCCACACATGAGCTTTGGACCTATGAAATGAAAATATGAACTTCACAGAATTTCATATCATGGACCTTAGAGTCCAAATCTAGGTTGTTAATTCTTCAAATGCCAGAAGTCCACTAATGGTTATGATTAGTTGTTATTAGGAGAGGGATACAAAATAAATAGAAGTCATGGTGATTGACATCAAGATCAAATGCTATCACTATTCAATATTAGCACTGCCAAATCTCACCAATCTTTGGCTGATGGCCAATTTATTTTACATAATATTCGATTACCAAAAATTTCCATGCAAACATACTGGATTCTCTTGGCATTCCTCCCAGAGCTCTGTATGACCTGTACTAGAGCTGAGGAAATGAGAAGTGAAATGACAGACCCACCCTAAGCAACCTTTCAACCAACCGGGTGGTCTAGCAAAGCTTTAGGAGGGAGGCCATGTAAATCAGAATGGCTCTCTGAGGGTAAACGTGTAGGGTAATTGGACACATGGGCCATGAGCTCCCCTCGGGCCCAGAGGAAGAGACAGCCAAGTTCATGGCAAAGTGAGAAATAATAAACCCCTATCCTCCAGTTCCCACCCAGGCATTGTACAGGTACAGCTGCTTCAGCGTGTACCTGCTGCAATGGACTTGCCCAACTGCCTGGGACAGACCCTCCAAGAATAGGATAGGGGAGACTCTCAAGCTGTCACCCCTTCTCCTTATTTCCCCTCATGTTGGGTTTCAGGTAATGGCTTTCCTAATAGATCCTATCCTCTCTTAGCCCTACAAGTGCAGCAATTAGATGCACCAGCCTGGACTGGGTTAATTTCATTCTTCATCCCTGATCCAAAAAAAGCTTACAACTCATGCATCTTGCTCTCTGGTTGTGCTCATGATCCTGTCATTGCTCAGAGAACCCACATTTTGGGCTGGTCCTGTCACTGACTTGGCAAAGGGTCCATAGCTTGGCTGCTAAAGGTGATCTTCTCTCTCACAGATCAGAGACCATACTTTCATGCCTACCTACTGCCTGTGCATAACTGTCAGGTTTAATCCCTTAATGGCTATTTGGGCATGGAATATGTTCCCCCAGGGGATTTTCTTTTATTTTCTGATAGGGTGTTTTAAGTGTAAAATTATGGTAGCGCTAGCCTCCATTATTAACAGAGACCAAGGCTATTTTTAGCACAGTATTGTTTATCTTAGTACTGGGCTGCTGATCATAGGCCCAAGCCCAGCAGAGTAGGTGCCCTACGTGCATATGTGCATGTGTGCATTTGTGTGCTTGTGTATACTGGGATAGGGGAGAGAATTTTTATGACTCCAGAGCCCAATTTATATGTCAGGGTACCAATAAATGACACCTACAGTGTTTCTTTTTAGAGGGCTAAGCACATGGGTGTGAGCATATCATGAGTCCTCTTCAACAAATTCTGGAGGGTTGACAATAATTACCAAATGGGATACAGTTCTTCCCTCCCCCCATAAAAACATCTACTATTCCCTTCACTTTGGAAATCGCTAGGATCCCATGGTCTTATAGTACAGCAGGCATCAGAGGAGCCTCCAGAGCCAACAGTACAAATGTTCTGCTGGGAAAGAGCCCCAAAGAAACTCAGCCCTCTGAATGTGCCAGCAACAGTAATGCCTGTGAGGAGCACAAAGGGTCATAATGATAATATTTACTTTGAAGCTGCTCAGGATTCCAGACGCAACTGGGCTCTGTTGAATTTGGAAAAAACATACAGGAGAAGCAGGATTGAGGGTCACTGAAGGAGGACAAGAAGGGCAGCTAACAAGGTCAAGAGTCGATTGGGAAAGGCAGCTACTCATCTGTCTAAGACAGGCTGCCAGCAGTTGTGTTCTGGTCAGTGTCTCAGAATCTGATCTCAGGAGAAAAATCACATGGTTTGCAGCATTTGCCAATTTCTGTGGTGTTGTTACTCCTACCATAGCTGGTATTTAGCTGCCAACCTGATGCTGGACAGGGCAAGGTCACAGAGCCAGGCATGACCTTGCCCTTGTCCATAGGCTCCCTTGGCCAACTGGAGTTCCTAAAGAGTTTCCTTTTGGACACCTTCCTGTTGAACTCAGAGACATTTCTCTTGGTTTATTCCAACATTCGGAGCTGGGAGAGACTTTAAGTCATGTGACTGTGAGCTCTATGTGAACAAGGATTAGGGCTGTCTCGTTCATTGCTGTATCCATGGCCCCTAAAACTGTGCCTGGCTCCTATTAGATGCTTTGTAAATATTTGTTGAATGATTGAATGAACCAACATATCATGCCTTAGAGATGCGCTAGAGCATATTGGTTATAAGCATGGCTCCTATGTCAGACGGCCTCAATTCACATGCTGGCTCTGCCACTTACTGCTTTGTGACCCTACACCAGTTACTTCATCCACATTTTATAAATAGGGAAGGCAAGGTGCAGAGAGTTTGAGAACTGAGGCAAATTCACAGAACTAAGAAGTAGCTTGGTTAACCCATCTGTGAATGAAAGACAAATAGTAGTATCTACCGCATAGTCTTGTTTGGGGGAATAAAAAAGGAAATATGAAGTATTTATAGCAGTTCCTGGCACAGAGTAAGTGCTCCATAAATGATAGCTATTATTATTACTACCCTAACCTGCTCCTTTTAAGGAAAAGGAGACTAGAGTCCAGAGAGGGGAAAGGGCTCGGCTCAGGTCACACAGTCATTTAGTGATAACTTGGCTGGGACTTTGCATTTCATCACTGGCAAGGATTTAATTGCACAAAGTGCCAGAGGATACAGATATTAACAGCAGATGAGGAAAATGATTAAGCCTTTCTTTATAACAGTGGTTTTTAACTCAGGGTACAGAGGTCAACATTGGACTATCCCAGGGAATATAGTTTAAAAAAGCATATTATATGGTATGTGTTTTAAATCAAGATTCTTTTTTAAAAAATCTAGTATTTCCAGAATACTATCTACACTAAGCACAGTGAGATGAAATATTCTTGGCTGGTGGCAATGACTTACAAAGGGTTAAGAAACCTGCTGTCCATTTTGAGGAGGGAGGAGGAGATAGAAATTGACCCTTTGGGACTACTCAGGTTTCCTGCTGGAATCTAATTGCCAAGCCCCAACCTTCCTGCAGGGTGGGTATGGAATCTGCTGACCTGATCTGGGTTAGGCCACATGTGCAACACCCCCACCCCACCCCAACACACACGCACACTCAGTACTGGGCCCAGGGCAGTGTAGGAAGGGACAGCATCTTAGGCTCAGGCTGAGCCTGTGCCAGCCATTGAGAGAGAGGCCCCGCCCTACCCAGCCCCCGTTGGGCTCCACACTGATGGAAAGCTGGAATGGGAGCACTCAGTAGCCAAGGGACAAGCTCGCTTGATTTTCTGCCCTCTTCTCATGTAGCGTTTATCACAATTCCCTAGACACTCACAGGTTCTTTTCTTCCAGACATTCGTCATTGAACATCTAATAATTTCCACAGCCCTTTTGTGCTGGTAGGCATTCAGGTGGTCATTTTCCCTGCTGTCCCTCCCTGCTGCCCTGCCCTGCCTGCTGGCCTCCATTTCTCCAGCTGTGTAAACAGGGTGGGCCCCTCCCTTTGTAGTTCTGTTCCTGAGGCTGGAGTGAGCCTCACACTGAGCACTCTCTGGAGTTCAGGAAGCTGGCCCCTCCTCTGTCCTCTGAGAATTCTTAGGATCAGCAAGCCAGGTAACCAGCTCTGGGTGCTGGGGAGGCAGAGCCCACCACTCTCTAGGAGCTATTGGGCATTCAGCAAAGAGCTCACGGAACAGAAGAGCGGGTGGAGGTGGAGGTGGAGATGTACATAGAAAATTCATTCTGCGTGTATACAAAGACAGGCTACAGTGTAGCTTGAACCTCAGCGCCCAGAGGGAAGGCAAGTTGGGATGAGGGAGCCACTCTTGTGTTCCCACCTCAGAGATGCTTGGCCCCATTTGCAGTTAGCTGCACCTTCACCTTGGGCAGGGAGGGGGTGATACATTCAGTGGCTTGGCCAGGTCTGTCACCTCCTGTTGTAGAGGCCTCAACTCACCAAATTTTTCTTGGGACCCAAATACTTCCTGTTCCTTTAGAGAGGAACAAAGGGACCTCTTCTTGGAGAATCTTTGCTGCTAATAGGTATAGCAGACCCTGGCTGGAAACATGATCTGTGTGAGGAACTGTTTCCCTGCATCCTGGCAATCGACCCCGTTAGTCAGACCTGGCTATGAAACTGGGCTGAAGGGCTGGGTAGCTAGGCTGAGTTGAATGGTCTCCTTGTTCTCTCTCTCTCTTGCCAGTCTCTCCACACACAGAAGATCTCATCATCAACAGATATTTTAAAAAGCACCTCCTGCATTCGTAGCTCATTTCTTGGAAGAAACGATGCATGGAAGATCAAAAGCTAGACACACTCAGAAGGTGGAGGGGAAATGGACTATTTGCAGTTATGTATTGTGCAGCTCTAACCCTAGTCCTGCACCACTTTGCGGATATGTGCTGTCATGGGGAGGGGATGGAATTTGCCAAGCCAGGATTTGTCCAGTGCAAACCCACTGTTGACTGTGAAGACAGCCAATGCTCACATCTCACAGGTTGAGATGAGGGAGGGGAGAAGAGGGGTGATGACAGCAGAATGGCAAGGTAGTCTAGATATTCAAAGGGAAGTTTAAGGTAATTAACTACTGAATCTTGTATTCTTGAATCATTTGGGATGGGGTGGGGGCCCAAATACAGTCTAGATCCACAGAGATTATAAGCAGCTGTAGTGCCTAGTCCAGCTTGTGGCTTCACGTCAGATGCCTAACTCCTATGCCACCAGTTTCCTTCCAATGTCCTCATTCCCTGAAGACTCCTTGGCTCATGGCAGTGCCTTAACATCCCTTGGGTCTTCCAGGAATAACCTTCCAGGAAAAACCTTCACTAGTCCCCCAGAGCCCTTCCCCACTTGTCTCCTTGGTATGAAAATTAAGAATTTTGAAATTCCAATAGCTTCATTTATTAGTATCCTGCAGCCTGTTAGTTAAACAAACAAATGACTTTTGTTTGAAATTTAAGAGGAAGAATAATTTGTGGTCTGCTAAATTCCCTATCAGCTAAAAATGGTCTCACTGACAGCTCAAACCTCTGGGAGGAAATGCTGAAAGCTGCACAGTCTCTCCACTGGGAAACACATCCGGGCATCTGCAGAGCCCTATGTAGGCCTGGCAGGGAGGTGATGTGGGGCTGAGAAGATATTTGATGGGGGAGTGCTGTCCCTTTGTTTTAAAATTTAAAATAAGCTTTTAATTTTTATTACAAAAGTTATACATGCTCCTTGTAGAAAATTTGAGAAATACAGAAAAGCATAAAGCAAGAAGTGAAAACCACATATAACCCCACTACCCAGACATAACCATTGGTAAGAGTATATTGTATTTCTTTCCAGTCTTTTTCTAGGCATAACTCTGCATCTCCATAACTGCTTATAACGGTTTCTTTTTCTAACTATAAAAGCAATGTATACTCAATTTTCAAATAACAAAAAAATATGAGGAATAAAAGAAAAATTACCCCAATTCCACTATCCTGAGACGACTACGGCTAATATATCGGTGCAGTTCCTTTCACTCTTTTTCACTTAACTGAGATCAAATAGTCCATGTAGTTCTATATGCACTTCACTTAGTGTCTTATTGCGTACACTTTCCCACATCAATGATTATGCATCCAAAACATGATACGGAATGGTTTCACGATCACTGTGTGAATGGACCATAATTTATCCTTTTGCTTTTCAGGGGAGACAGGTTTGGGCAAGTCCACCCTCATGGACACCCTGTTCAACACCAAGTTTGAGGGGGAGCCAGCCACCCACACACAGCCAGGTGTTCAGCTTCGGTCCAATACCTATGACCTCCAAGAGAGCAATGTGGGCCTAAAGCTCACAATTGTTAGCACAGTGGGCTTTGGGGACCAGATCAACAAGGAGGACAGGTAAGGAAGGGGGTGTGATGGGGAGGCTGGTGGGAGGCCATGGGGAAGAGCTCACCACAAGGGTCTTGGAGAGACCACAGATGACATGGTCTTGCCTGGACTTCCTCTCAGAATGGTGTGGGTGGGTAGCAGATACCTCACAAGCGCCACCTCTACCCAGGGTTCCTGTCTAGATCAACTATTCTACTCCACATGCTTTGCCAAAAGAAGGATGTCTTTACAGTATGCATGGATGAGGTCTCCATTCCATTTGGCATATATTTATTGACCTACGACCTTGTGTTAGGTACTGCAGTGCTCTGACAATCTGAAAAGAAATGACTTTGTCTCTGCCCTTGAGGCATTCATGGGGGAGACTGGTTTTAAACAAATTAGTTTAAAACCAGTCTTCCCCATCGAGTATCAAATATCAAATCGAGTATGATATGTTCTGTCAAGGACAGGGTACAAAGAGGTAAAGGACAAATTACAATGCGAACATGAAGGAGAGAACAGTCAGTTCCATAAAGGGGGGTGGGGTCAGGGAAGCCTTCACAGAGGTTTCCCTGAGCTGGCCCTTGAAGAATGGACTATTTTTCCAGACAGACCCAAGGGCATAGAGGGAAGGGTATTCTGGGCAAAGGTAACTGCTCATGCAAAGACAAAGAGATGTGAAAGATTATGACATATTCCAGGAAACTGCAACTTGCTCTGTTTGGTCAGACCAGAGGCAGAGTTACTATGAAGCTAATGAAACTTAAGCTTCCCCCACCTACACAGGCCCCTTCCATGGCCCTGTAACTAAATTTTAGTCGTAATGTTATATTATCTTTTTTGGAGACCCCTTCAAATAATATAAGCTTAAGGCTCCACAAAACTTGGGTCTGCCCCTGAGCTAGTGCTTGGAGTGACCTGGGGGAGAAGTAAGGGAGATGAGCCTGAAGAGGTAGAGCAAGAGCCAGCTCCTGGAGTGATTTATAGAACATACAGATGTGGAGCCACTGAAAGGTTTTAAGAGGTAGAACGATGTTGTCTGGTCTTTGAAGAAGGTACTTTGAGATAGACTGGAGAGCAGGAAGACCAATTAAGAGGCTATTGGACCAGTTGGATCAAGGCTAGAGGTAAATCAGGTGCTGAGATAGGGACAAGGTGACAGATTTGATAAATACCGAATAGGTAAAATCAACAGGATTTGTAATGGGGATGTGAAGGCAAAGCAGAATCTAGAATGAGGCCCAGATTTTGACCTTGGAGAGTAGACAAATGGCGGCGGAATTCAGTAAGGGAGGTAATATAAAAGAATCAGCTTTAAAAAGAATCAGATCTTTTCTAGATGTTAAGTTTGAGCTGTCTATGGACTATCGAGAGACATGATGACCTTCAGCAATAGGCAGTTGAATATACAGGGTTAGAGATCAAGAGAGAGTCTGGGCTGGAAATAGAGATTTGGGTTATCAAGGTATGGGTGATATGTCTCAACCATGGACACATGTAAGATCACCCAAGGATCAGAGTTAAGCAAAATGAACACTGGGCTAAAGACAAAAACCTTGGGGTGTTAAGTGAGCAGATGGAGGAAAAGACATCTTGAAAAGAGACAGAGCAGGAATAAGCAGAGAGGTAGGAGGATGTCTGGGGTGTTTGAGAATGGTGTGTGAATGAGAGGTGGGTGGGGAGAGCTCAGAAATGAGGATATGATGAGTGCTGGGGCCAAGGTGGGTGGGGGTCAGGCACAATCTGCATTTAACTAGAAGTCACATGGTTATCACATGTGCTCATCCCAGAAAGGGCCATTCATCATTTTGAGCAGTGTCTGCTCATTCTTTGAGGATTCTCTTGCTTCTTGAATGAACTATATCCCAAACTGACCTATTTCTCCCTTAAAGTTACAACAACCATCCTCGTTTCCTTACAATGAGTAAATATATTTAGCTTCTTACTAATTGAACAGATTTCTGCTTTCCATTTGAAATTCTAAGTAAAAGACACCTCTGCTTTTTATAGGCTTGTTGTGTTAATCTCATTTGGTTGAGAATAAATTATAGACCCTGGGGAAAGGGGATATTTGGGTCACAATACGAATGCCTAATCTCATCCGCAGATTGCGCAGGATCTCTTCAGTTAAATATCTCATAGTTCTCAGTAACATACATTCTCATATTTAACATTGGAAAATGCCTTGATGATGGTTTGGAAGGACTGAACTGATATGGCCCCTTAGAGGCTAATCTACTTCATTATACTGTTTTTCCTGATTATAAATATGATATATACTCATACAAAGTCAAATATGGTAGTACTCCTTATCTGTGGTTTTGTGTTCCGCAGTTTCAATTACCCAAAGTCAGTCACATTCTCAAAATAGTAAATAGAAAATTCCAGAAATAAACAATGTTTTAAATTGCACATTGTTCTGAGTAGCATGATGAAATCTTGTATCATCCTGCTCTGTCCTGCCTGGAATGTTAATCATCCTTTTGTCCAGCGTATCCATGCTGTATATGCCACCCTCCTGTTAGTCACTTAGTAGCCTCTCGGTGATCAGATTGACTATCACAGTATCGTAGTGCTTGTGTTCAAGTAACTCTTATTTTACTTAATAATGGCCCCAAAATGCAAGAGTAGTAATGTTGGCAATTTGGATATGCCAAAACATAAGCTATAAAGTGCTTCCTTTAAATGAAAAGCTGAGTACAGTATATACAGTACAGTAAGATATTTTGAGAGAATCACATTCACATAAATTTTATTGCAGCATATTGTTATAATTGTTTTATTTTATTAGTTATTATTGTTATTACTGTGCCTTGTTTATGCATTAAACTTCATAGGTATCTATGTAAAGGAAAAAACATAGTATTTACAGGGTTTGGTACTATCCATGGTGAGAGAGAGAGAGAGAGAGAGAAAGAGAGAGAGAGAGAGAGAGATAGGGTTTGGTGCTATCTGTGGTTTCAGGCATCCACTAGGGTTCTTGGAATGCATTTACCATGGATAAAGGGGGATTCCTGTAATATAAACTCAAATAAGTAGAAATAAAAAGACTCTCTTAAACTGGGCTGGAGAACAGAGGTGATGTAAGCTCCAGGGATTTGTAATAAAAAGCAGTGTTTTCTCCATACTGACAGGGCCATTTGGGCATAGATATGTCAGTGCAGCTGCATGGAAACAGAGCATCATAATGCCTGCTTTACCTAGGGTACATGGATAAACCGAGAAGAGCAGTGATGAAGGCCATATCCTGGGGGAAAGCCACCATTGAAAAGATGCTGGAGCAGAAGAACCCACGAGGGGGACAGAAGGACAGGCTGGAGAGGGGAATGCTTAGGAACTTAGGCTTTGGTCTCAAACAGACTTGGGTTCAAATCCCATTTTGCCACTTATTAGCCCAAGAAACTTGGACAAGTGTTTTGTGCCAGTCTTAGCACCAGTGTTGTGGCTGAATTGGCCCTTATGGTTCTTACTATGATTGGAAGACTCACTCAGCAATAACCACCAGGAAACTTTGTGGGGAGGGAGGTTTATTGTTCACAGGTCCCGGAAAGCACATTGCACACTGGCTGCACAGTGAGATCACAGGTAGAGAAAGAGAGAGAGCGTATGGAGCCCGGGGTTCTGCTTTGATTGGGGTTGAGGGTGTGGAGCTAAGGTTTTATTGGTGAATTTAAAACACAAGAGAAGGAATTTAAAGTGAAGGAAGAGAAAAAATTAATGGTCTAAAAGGTCAGTTATGGAAATCAACCAAGATCTCTAAAATAAAGGAGCTTGGGGTGGGGTTAGGGGCATCCTGGCTTTTCACCTTTCTGTGGCTGGCTCTGTGTTTATTCAGATAGTCATCTCTAAAGTGGATGTCTCAGCAATCAACGCTTAAGTCAGGTACTTGCATTACAAAAAAGAAAAACCACTGTCAAGGCTTACACTAAACAAGATACTTAAATTCTCTTTGCCTCAGTTTTCTCACTGGTAAAGTGGGGATGATGATAATAGTACTATCTACCCTAAAGAGTTGTGGTAAGGCTTAAACAGTGGAAATGCATAAATAGCACCTGGCACAGAGTAACTAATGAACAGAAGATATTGTTATGATCATGACTTTTATTGATAGAAGAATCAAGGGAGCATTGTATCATGTACCATATGGGAGAGAATTATAAATAGTGTTCAGGAAGATAAGGACTGAAAAATTTCCATTGGGTTTGGCAACATGAAGGTTATTAACACATTTAGGAATAATTCCAGGGAAATCATGTGTAAAAGCTAGATTGCTCTGAGTGAATGGGAGAGGTAAAGAAGTAAAGGCGTCAAAATAGCAAAAAGAGCAATAGAACAGAAAAGGGAATCCCAAGACCAAAGTCATGTTTATATGGGAATTTGGTATAAGTAAGTCAGCAGGGAAAGAATGGACACTAGGGAAATAAATAAGCCACCCATTAGGAAAAAAAAATAAGATGAGACCCTCCCACACAAACACCAGTCACAAAAATAGGTTCCAGTTGGATTAAAAACAAATCTTAAAAATACAAGGAGAAAAATAACTTTGGGAATGGAAAAGCCTTTTCTAATCATGATACGAAATCCAAAAATTGTAGAAGAAAAGACTGACAGATTTAAATTTATTAAAACAAACAAAAAAATCTTTTGTATATTGAAAGTTACCATAAACAAAAATAAAAACAAACCACAGGTGAGAAAATATTTGCAACCTATATAACAAAGGATTTTTCTAAAATGTAAAAAGAGATTCCACAATTCAATGAAAAATAAACAGGTAAAAATATAAATGGCTAATCAACATATGAAAGGATGCTCATTCAATTTCACCAGTGACTAGGGAAATGCAAAATGAAACACTGAAATATTTTTTCATCCATCAGATTTGCAAAAATAAAAATATAATATCCACTAACACCAGGTAATTTCATTCATGTTGCTGGGAGTATAAATTGATACGGATTTTTTTAGAGAGCAAATTTGGCAATACCTATTAAAATTTTAAATGTGAATACCTTATGATCCAGCAG